TAACCGACCAACATGTTTCGCACTGACCGGCAACCAGCGTAGCAATAGTCCGCCAATAATAACGTTCTAGGCTTTAAATTCCTTTACTATTTTGCAAATATCAAGAAGTTATACTATTCAGTCAATTTTAAAAGTTTAATATTCAATTTCAGTCATTTTTAACAATTATTGAACGAATTGGAAGTATTTTCCGTTTAATGCGCATCCAGCCTCTAACACAGCAAACAGGCGCCAGTCTCTGTTTTTACTGGAGTGTGTTTATCTTGCTTGAGACTCTTCAATCCAACAAGTTTCTGTGTTTCCCAAGCAAATTATTGGTCATTTTGAAATATATTTATATTGATAATATATAATGCAGCAGCATTTACTAAAGCAGTAATTTGAATTAAAACCAGAGAGCTGTACTTAGTGGTGAAGCCTGGCACCATGGGGTGATTCTCTTCCACCCCCAATGTCTCCACCCCATTCTAAATCCCATCATCATCATCATCATCCAGAGCCTATACACACCTCAAAGTAAAGTGAACTTTTTCACCATTTTGTTAACTTTAGGAAATTTCGTGAGCTAAACCACTATCTAAAACCCATTGAAACAATGGTTTCTGTTATCTAACGTTTCAAGCAACTTAACGACCTTCTGAACGGATTGAAATATATATATATATATATTATATATATATATATATATATATATATATATATATATATATATATATATATATATATATATATATATATATATATATATATATATATATATATATAATATATATATACTATATATATATTATATATTTAGGAATTTAATTTAACGCGGGTCAATTGAACCTGGAGGTCTCGCTAGTGAAATCGCAAGTATGAACAACAGAACATATGGGATTCCAGAAACGCTGCCTGACTTCCCCAAACTCCACTTGAAGGAAAACATACCTATGTTGTAGTAAAATAACATCTATTTTATGATGGTACATGCACACAATATTTAGCAGAAATACAGTTGCTATGTCCATTCAAATAATGGACTCAATCCCTCCCTCCTCAGGCTGACACTGTCTCCTCTCAGAGAAATTTTTGGGGAAAAACCACTAAATTTTAATAAATAATACCTCAAACAGTTAGATATTAATAATTGACATTGCTGGATTCTTAGTCAGGGAATATTTTGAATAAATGTCATATATTTTGTACAAAGATAACATAGTTACCTAGAGAAAATTTTTATCTAAATTTGTATGTTTAATGCAAAATATATGATGTTTATATTCAAATGATCACCAAATTATAAGAATTCCAGTAATGTAAATTATATTCTGACCGGTAATTTGTATGAATTTTATGAGCTAAAACAAATATCTTCAGTTAAAAAAAAAATAATCTTCACTTAACTATCTGTCAATCAAGTACCCATCTTGCCTCTTCCAACCGCGTCAGTCCCAACCTCTCCCCCCCCCCCACCAATCCTCCTTCCAGGGTTTTTAACATTTAGTATTAATAATACCCCAGATTAAAGTTAGGATAATATAATTGACATTGCTGGATTCCTTTGTAAGACTGGGAATATTTAATAGAATGTCATATATTTTGCACAAAAGATAAATATTTACTCTGAAAAATTTTTATCTAAAATTTGTATGTCTAATGCAAAATATATGATGTTTATATTCAAAATGATCACCAAATTATAAGAATTCCAGCAATGTAAATTATATTCTGGCCGGTAATTTGTATATTTTATGAGCTAAAACAGGCAGTCAGGCAGGGGTAAATCTAAAATAGCGTCTCGAGCTGGACACTCTATCACAAGATATGTGTGAAAGTCCATGTTAAGTGAAAGTTCAGCTCTGGCGAGGCAATCGCATGATAAAACGCTATATGAAACCACAAGTAGGCGGGTAATACTGTATATATATATTATATATATATATTATATATATTATATATATATATATATATATATATATATATATATATATATATTTTATATATATATATATATATATATATATATATATATATATATATATATATATATATATATATATATATATATATATATATATATATATATATATATATATATATATATATATATATATATATATATATATATATATATATATATGGGTCCTAACTAATTACTCCAAATGTAGCGCAATGAAGTCAAAATGGTCCTACATGAATAACCGACTGCTAATCACTGACTAGCATTTGGTGTCACGGTCACAAAAATTGGAAAACGTAATTTAATGCGAAGATAGATCGATGCATGTACCGAGGGCGGTAATTACCCAAATGTAGCCAAGAATGTCAAATATCCTACATGAATAAATCGACTGCCAATCACTGACTAGCATTTGGTGTCACGGCTAAAAATTGTAAACTTAATTTAATCTGAGTTAATAGACCGGAGTGCATGTACCTAACCTAACCTAACCTAACACAACACAACTCAGATTAAATTAAGTCTACCAATTTTTTTTTGTTTTATGACACCAAATAATAATCGAGAAGTGATTCACAGCCCGATTACGCCTAGGGGACCACCATTGACTTCATTATGCTACATTTGGGTACATTTGCACACTGCCCCGGTACATGCACGCGATCTATTAACTCAGATTAAAGTAAGTTTTCCAATTTTTGTGACTTTGTGACACCAAATACTAGTTTCAGAAGTGATTAGCAGTCCGGTTTTCATGTAGGACCATTATTTGACTTCATTGTGGCTAAGAGGTACAGGGTGAGTACAGTCTGTACCACCCCTGAAGATGAATTACAATTTAAAGCTTGGGAACTTTCAAGTTTCTTTCCAGGTTATCATATATATATATATATATATATATATATATATATATATATATATATATATATATATATATTTATATATATATATATATATATTTTTTTTTTTTTTTTTTTTTTTTTATTAAAATTAAAATTCGTCATATCAATTTTATTTTTTAATACAGTACCATCCAAAGTATAACTATGGAAAATATGAGCGAAATACATAAACGCATTCTGGTGCCAACCTTCTCCTCCACCTTTACCACCAAGTTTGCCAAGTGTCTAATATAACTTAGGTTGTATTCCGTGACTGCACTGTGTGGCAGACTGCCAGATCATCGAAGATACGTGACCTTTGTTGAACAAGTAAGCAAGCGGAGATATTTCATGTTGACCCTGGTCTGCCCAACACTGAACCAAGCTGATGCTCTTTACGTTACATAACCTAAACACCTTCATCTTCACAATCTTATCTATAAAAATAAGAAGAGGAGCATTAATTCCTTCATTGTAGGCCCTAAATATATAATCCATCTTACCTCATCGCCAATGACGGCAATAAGTTTGCCCTGAGCAGCAGCAACAGCCATCTCGAAGGATAAGTTTCGTCTGCTATGTTTTGAGAAATCATATGACATGACGTCATAAGCTACGGTACTTACTTATGGATATACAAACAACTTTTATTAAATTAGAAACAAGTAAAACTTCACAGCAGACAGTATAAATACATAATAATAATTTAACTCAACTCCTAAATTAACAATCAGGCATTTTACTGATGTAAATCCTGGAGTGAAGATTAAATTTGTTCACACTTATCACTAAACACCACATGATCAAATAGGCGGGATATTCAAGTCAAGCGTAGATCTTGCTTAATTTACTTCTTGGTCAGCTTGGGTAAGAGCAGTTTTAGGGATATGTGAGCTGTGGTAGGAATTTCTGGCTGGGGGTTAGGTTAAATTTCCTAGGGTATGGTGGCCAAACTGGAACATCTAGCCCCAGATGGCACCAGCCACCGTGTAATTTTGCCATTCATATTTAATTACTTTTACTTTTATCCTCTTCGCCACTGATCGGCTTGTTAGCCGCTTGGGCGATCGGTCACGTCTCTGTCACGCACTGTTGGCAAGTACTGGGCATGCACCGGCTCCTGAATGTACCTGAACCTGCTCCAGTGTTGGTCAAGTCTTCTCTTGAAAGAGCTCACACTCGGTGCCATCACAACACTTTCTGGTAGATTGTTCCAAGAGTTTACAACCCTCACTCCGAAAAAGTTTGCCCTCACGGTTTTCTGGACCTGCTGCTTCTTCAATCTTGAGCTGTGACCCCTTGTGGGGCGAGCGTCCGCCAGCTCCAAGTAAGGACAATCAACTGAGTAGTGCCCCCTGAGATGCTTATACACCTCAACTAGGTCCCCCCTTGCCCGTCTGTAGTATAAGCTAGGCAAGTTCAGGCGCTCCAATCTCTCAGGGTAGCTGAGGTGCCGAAGTGCAGGCACCAGTCTGGTGAAAAATATTACAAGGGAAATTACGACGGGATGAGGGAGGAGTTGGGTATCTACTGGCCTGACTCACTAAGATATAAGAATGCAGACACTACGCTGAATATCATAGCCAGTTAAGTGAACACCATTTGATCGATAAATATATACCCAAGACTAAACTCAGTGCCTCCAGAAATACAAAGAGAGGGTTACACATGAACCAAGCGGCTTTCGACAAATTTAAGAGAAAAATTTCAGAAATTCGAGAAGTGGGTTGTTACCGTAAGCAGTAATGATTAGGTTAACTCTAGTAGGATAACTCTAGAAGAATAACGTTTAAACAAACATTATGTTAAGTTGTAAGTCATGACATGTTTAGTTGGCGTGCCTGCCCGTATGTAGAGTATTTAGTAGTGAAGCTACAGAGACAAGAAGTACCAATGGTGTTGTGAAGTAGTAGGGAACGACTTGTTTGTAAATAAAATGCCAGTCACTGCAACTTGTGTTAGCCAAGGCAAGGCATGATACGAGCTGCTCCAACACTCCAACTCTTACCATCATAGGGTGACACCTAACCTATTCATTTAAGACCTTAATGTCATGGTCACAATGGCATGGCTGGTCTGTTTGAAACCTGATGATTCATATTATGTCCCACGCACTCAAAATATGTAGATAACTGGTGAGTTATCCCTAGGAAGAAACACGTTTTCTCTTGCTTAGGTGCCGTCCATTTTCTCTGACTTCCTGAAACCATCCTCTCTATAAAGTAAATTTGAATGTGAGAGAGAACACCACTGTTTTGCATCACCTTAGAAATGTCTGATTATAGATGAAGCATTCAAGATCCCTTGTGAGCGATGTTGAAAGCTTCAACTGTCTTTATTGTTAGTAAAACGTGTTAAATAAGTGAGTGTTGAGTCTGACAGTGAGAATGATGAAGTACTAATCTAGACTGTGCCCATTGTATTGTTTATCGTTGTGCCATTATGGAAATATAGCAATAAGACATTTATGTATGATTACCTACATATGATTTATTATTTGAAATACTAAGACTGAATTGTATTCAACAGGTTTGACCGAATTATAACGTTTGAGTGCAATGTGACTGGTCATATTACCCATAATCGCTCTAAAGGTTATATTGTAGGGTACGAGATATTTGGTTTACACTCAGGATGGGATGGAGAAAGGAAACTCACATTGTGCTCTCTATATACATATTGTATTAGATGTACAGTGCAGCTTAGTGCTGGGAAGTGGCAGCATAGTTACAAGCGTGACGTAGAGAGAGCTGGTTGGTGAGGGTGCCCAGAGGAGGACAAGCTTGTGGGTCGCCATGGTCGACGGCGGGAGCGAGGGCCGCCAGGCAGGAGAAGAGGAGGAGGTGTTGCTTGCTGGTGTCTGTAGGTAGAAAGAGGTAGGTCACCACGAGGTGAGATCTTATATAGCGGAGGTAGGCGTGGCTTAATAGTTGACCTCCGTGATGTATGGCGGCGCTGGTTGCTGACCTAGACACGAGGTGCCGGCTCGTCAGCGACAAACGGCGTTTGTAGGGGAGGAATCCACTACAATATCATGGGTTAAGACAAATGATGAGCAGGACAGGAAGATGAATGCCAGATCCAGGAACCAAGCAAAGTCGGAGTGTAGAAAGGCTAAAAAAAGAGTTCCAGAGGCGGATTACGAGCTACACAAAGTTGAAATAAAACGCAAGTAGGCATATCGGACCTAAGGCTTGAAAAGCTGGTGGACGCTCGCCCCACAAGGGGTCACAGCTCAAGATTGAAGAAGCCGCAAGTCCAGAAAACTGTGAGAGCAAACTTTTTCGGAGTGAGGGTTGTAAACTCTTGGAACAATCTACCAGAGAGTGTTGTGACGGCACCGAGAGTGAGCTCTTTCAAGACAAGACTTGACCAACACTGGAGCAGGTTCAGGTACATTCAGGACCCGGTGCATGCCCAGTATTTGCCAACAGTGCGTGACAGAGACGTGACCGATCGCCCGGGCGGCTAACGAGCCGATTTTTTGGTGAAAAAGATAAATGAAAAGGACAAGTAATCAGAGACGTGACCGATCGCCCAAGCGGCTAACAAGCCGATTAGTGGCGAAGAGGATAAAAGTAAAAAAAAAGTAAAAGTGAAGATGGTAGTTACGCAGATTCTGACCAGGACTAGGCGGCTGCATTTAAGTTTGACTTTTACTTTACTTTTATCCTCTTTGCCACTGATCAGCTCGTTAGCTGCTTGGGCGATCGGTCACGTCTCTGATTACAAGGAGCCCCATACTTGCAGGTGTGGAGTGCAGCAGGTGTGGTGAGCAGGTGCTACAGGGAGGTGAGATGGTGTTACTATGTATGATAACCTAAGGTGCTATATTCCATACAGGTGGAGCAGTCTGACGTGTTGAGTGTTATTGTAAGAAGGGATGACCGAGGTAAGGAGGTCACTGATTGTTATGCAATAAATATGTGGATGACACGCAATTAATGTAAGATGTCTGTTGTAGAGCAGGGTAACCAAAATCAACGTTGTTCTTCTGAGGAAGGCCAACTCACTTGTATTTTATCGGAATGCAGTATGTTTTATAAGGAATAAATTAGTTAAGACATGTTATGGTTTCACCCTTCTTTCCCCTTATTGATCTGGTCAATGAAAAACCTAACCCAATGCCTCGTCCACTCTGCCCGCTACCTAACATGCTACATACTGCCTGTATGTATATTCTGTATATGTATTTATATTATGCTATGTATATTATGTATGTGCTCCATTTATATATTATTTATTCAGCCTAGCTAGTAGCGTGTGGCAATGTATTTATCAATGTCCCACATGCCTAATTAATGTGCCTGGCGACGTATGGAAGCTGTTAATGTGTCACTTGCCATACGTCGCCTATAGAGCAGTTGACCAGCAGACAGGTTGAGGAGCGCTACTCCCCTTGTGTACATATCTCTTATCCAGTAAATAGGACCTACAAAACTATACTGGTGTTTGTGTTCGCTCCTGTATATTGAACTTATTACCCAGAACACGAACATGGCGCAGTGTCTAGTCTTACTGGATAATTACGAGTGACAGTGCAAAGTTTGTGGAAAGCCGGCTTACGGACTCCCTCCCTGTGTCAACCAACCGCCGCCCGCCACCCCTCCTCAAAGAATTTAACAACTTTGAGCAGTGTCAGTGACAGTGATTTTCTGTGAAGTGTTTAGTGCATTGTGTGTTTCGTGCCATACATGTGTGACCTTGTTCTAAAGGATTCCCAAGGTACACGGCATGTTCTGGGCATTTGTAAGGAGTAACGTTTTTCACATCCTCCTCTCATCATGCCTCAGGGTAACTGACGCTCCTTGTCGTCTCCACACCCCCTCACAGCTCGAGGCCCCTCATGGCGAGACGCTCTCGCCCGCCCGGCACACACACATACATGTACTAACACACTGACATCGGCGACTCCCTTATATATATTTTATATATATAATCTACTTATCTGTGTATTTAATTAATTTTTTGTCTGAGATCTTGTTGATACGACGGGCTGACCGGTCAACACTGATTTAAGACACAGTACACAGATGAAGTAGTTATGTCTCGTGCCTTACGTAGCCGTGGAGCCAGCGCCCGGATGAGTCAGTCGGATGATAGCTCCGCAAAGATGGATGACCAGGCTGACCATAACGCTCCAGCTCCAACAACATCGCGCAGCCCTTCACCTCGACATTCAGCGTTGTCTCCAGAGATAATTGCTTTAATGAAGTTTATGAGAGATGAAAGGCGCGAGGATGAAGCTAACAGACGTGTGGCGGATGAACACAGACGACAAGCAGAGGCACAGAGACCACCAACGGAGATTGGAAGACAGTGCACGGTTTGAAGCCTTGATATCTCGCCTCACTGTTAACCAAGCCCCTGGCTCTAACACTGCCTCGGTATTGACTGGTTCAGATACCTCATCAATGCTCTCTTCACGCCCACCAGCCCCACCTAAAGCAGCTGCTCAAACACCGCCCATCTTGAAGCCTGATGTGAATTTCCAGACTTTTCGTGAATGGCGGCGACGGTGGACTGATTATTCTACAATGGTGGATCTCCAGAGTTTGTCACAGCCTAAACAACTCATCCAGCTGCGTATGTGCCTGTCCTTGGAAATTCAGCGTGT